CAGTAATCGGGAAGAGTGCTTTCATTTTATCTTAAAATTATTGATTGATTGTCCGTTAGTTATAGTCTCATAATGCTTAGTGCTGAAAATCTTTTTTTTTGCTGTAAATGTTTTATGGTTTCCTTTTGTGTGTAAAATTACAAAATCATTCATTTTACATTTTGAGAGAATTATTCTGAAATGAATTATTTACTGTTTTTCTAGTGAAATATAATGTTTGTTGAACTTTAAAGATAGTTGCATTCCTCACTTCATTCTCATTTCATCGTAAGTGTAGGAGTACTCTTGACTATATTCATTTTCAGGAATGCGAGTACTGATAACGACTGTGGTGATGCTTGCCGCTAGCCTGATTGTCATCGCGTGAGCTATTTGTTCATTATATCGTATGTAAAATTTTGCTTGCAAACATCCTACATCATAAACTGAGCAAGACATTTCTAGCAAATCGTCTGACAGATAATATTCATTGATGTAAATCAGCGATAATTTAACTAGCTGATTGACTGAGTCAAATAGTTTTATTACCGACAAAGAGAACTTCTCTTTGTCCCTCTCATACGCTTTCTTTATATCTCTTGAAAGAAGCATGTGGTTGCACGGCTACCTATTGACCGACCAGTTTTGCTAATTTTACCCCAAGCAGATCACACCCTTCCTAAATCTATCATTTCAGAGATCAACCAATGCGATGCTATCAATGTAATTCGGCGAAAGATACAAACTGTGATTCCAGTGATGCCAAGGATTTAAAGCAATATATCAAATTATGCACACCACTGAAAGGAGGTACCTATGCCGGTAATGAACCCATCGCATGCCGTAAAATCGTCCAAGTATGTTGTGTCAATTTTACATACTTACTAATCTTCAGCTCCTATTTGGACATTTCTCTGATACTGATTAAATTACAATAAGCTGCTGTTTGAGCATTTAAAATTTGAAACTGTAAAAAATGATGCATATATGCCAAATGTTGTATTTTCTTCATTCGGTTGTATTTTCTTCATTCGGCACTTCAACAGAATTTAGTTTTGGATCGGAGCAGTTTTGCAGGTTATTTTGCACTCAGATGATCTTAGAATTTCAGAGTGTGGAGGAATTACCAACGCAAATAATCAGAGAGTGCGCTTATACGGGTGATAAGCAGTTGGATGGAATGCGTAAACAAGGCAGTAAAGCTATCAAATTGTTGTACTACCAATGCGAAAATGCGGACGGAGTAAGTTCGAATCGTATGACAAAATTTTTTTGAGTGTAAGTAGGCTAAATGGTTTATATATCTCAGTATTGAGCATGTATAAATAAGTGAACAACCTGTGATCATCAATTTTATGGTTTTCTTTTTCTGTTTTATATCATTTTCAAGATTCAAAAAGGTTAGACTTACTTACAAATACTAATTTAGTAAGTAAATTACAAATACTAATTTACCTACTGATCATAAAAATGTTCTATGAGTATATTATTTGATTAGGAGTTTGTTATATTATGATGTGCTGCATGGATTCACATTCCTGAAGTTAATATATTGCAGGATACACCTTGTAACGGTACACAACAGATAACCACACGATATCTCTCCTTGACCTTTCTCATTGCAGTTATAATTGCTATAGTCCACAGTAGATATCAGTAGAAACTTGTTAGTTATTTATATCCATTTGTGTCATTCCAAAAGCATTTCCTACCAACAACTCCTATCTATGCGGGAAGTGAACGTTCTTGCAATCTGACTTTTGTTTTTCATTTATTCAAGTGGTCAGTGTAGAAAAGAAGTTGAGCGAGCTTAGTTATGGAAAATTCTACCAATCTTTCAAAAGTTGTA